TTTAAGGCAACTGTGCACTAGCTGGAATGATACAAAGCAGACAACGCACTGGGGAATAAGAGTCTGAGTTTAGACAAATGTGAATGAAAACTTAAATTCTATAGAATGATAGTGTCACTAAAGCAGTGCCAACATAGTGCCATACACTGAGTATCGTCTTATTTTATGAACTGTGGGTTATTATACCTGCAGGTTCACAACCAAATTACATCGACATTATTTAGAAATGGAAAGGATGGATGGAATCCTATTTCTTCTCCAGCTCAAGGACTTTGAGGGGCTGCATCGATCTAGACAAACAAACATATTTTTGCTATCTATCCTTGATTGCAATTTCTATATAATTTCTAATCTCAGCAGTGTAACTAATCCCTTATAAACCCAAATTTAAAGAACAATTAACTATCAAATCTTTCCTTCTGCAATTTGAATGTTTCTAAAATGAACAAATTTTCCATTTGAACTGAGCTGGCAACAGCACACACAGGCTCAGTAATTGTCAAACGAGGATGATAGTACTCTCTGCATAGCTAAATTATGCCAATAAAACAACTGTACTGCAGTAGTGTATCTATGTAAGTCTTGTAAAACCATACAGTTAAGTCTGACAACAAAGTTAATAATTTGTCAGTAAGGAAACCACTACTGGGCTTTTTCTATCCAGCCCTCCACCTTCCTCAAGCCCTTGTCTCCTGAAGCTTCATATTCATTTTCTTAATGTTTTTAACCTAGTGTCTGTGAAATTTTTATTGCTCCCTAGATGATGATATCTGATCTGAATGTAACCACACACCTCTTTGCTCAGCAGCATTTGTCACAAACCATTATAAATGATCATGCTGATAGTTTGCATTGCTGGGAAACCGGAAAAGTTCTATAAATTCAAAGTACTGTATCAGTGACATCCTTGTTTATTTCCAGATATAAAGTTTTACAAGATTCAAGATGGCTACACTTACACAGTAGGATACTTTAAGCAACACAAGACTAGTACATCCTAGCTAAGTGCTGAAAAGCATTTAAAACATGCAACAAATATTCGAGCATTTTAGGTAATATTCAATCTTATGTTTTGTCCCCTCCTTTTACTTCTAACTGTGTTCCTGTCTTCACAAACTACAGCTATTTTCATTGCCTGTTTGTGAGAGGACAAAATATTCAATAAGCCCAAACTTGTATTCTTTTGAAACCGCCACCAGAATTTGGATTTCATTCTTTCCTGAAGCAGGCATGTAGCTCCCATTAATGTTAAAAGGTATCACTATGTACATTTGTGAGGAGAATATACCCTTATACTGTTATGAATGTACAGTTTATGTTTTTAGGCTGCAAGACATGATTTTACACATCCTGTTGAGACAGTGTATTTCCAGAGCGCTTGTTTGGTAATTCTGTCCTTAGGATATTTTTCATTAGAGCTGCCTAAATTGTGTGAAAGTACATTTACTTAATTACTATTGTATCTTTATTCCCCAATATGATGAAAGCTGAGCCCTTTGGGATTTCTCTGAAGAAACTTGAATTTTAGTTCTGCTTACTTGAAATTTAAAATAATACAACTTCCTCAAATAAAGTATATTCACTATGATTATATAAATATCACATGACATACCATATGATCATTAGAAAACATTTGGGAAATATTCTTCAATTAGAGCAAAACATAATTGCTAGTTATATTTATACCAGGCCTGTAATGTGGAACTTCCAAAATCTTAAGACACAAAGATGCTCACTAAGAGTGCCACCAGTATAGCTAATATTTACAATTTTTGAGCCTATTTCTCCTTTCACTGACACTAGTTTTACATATGTGTAAGTTCACTGGCTTCAATGGATTTAATCTTGATTAACACGAATGTACATGAAAGATAGATGAGACGCCTTGGCTTTCTTGTTGCAAATAAAGAATAACTTGACATACATCTGAAGGTCTTATTGTTTTTCTCCATGGGCTCAGTGAGATTTCCAGGTCCTCATCATTAATCTTTAGGGACCAAACTCTAGAAGTTCTTACTCAGTCCTCACTCAGGGAGAAACAAACAAACTAAACCTCTATTGACATAAGGAGTTCAGGATTTAGTCCAAGACACCATCTGCTCTTCTAGTCCAGTATAATTGTATCCAGGGCACAGAGTTTTTCAACAGTGCCCCTTTTTTCCTTCCCAGAAATTTTATTCCCCAACCTTTGATTTTCTGTCTGCACATCATATTAGCTGTTTATTAATTTCCATGGTTGCAACTTTAAGTAAACTAGAGGCTAGCTTGAAATGTCACATTTCTATAGTACACACACAGCTGGCAAATAAATTGAAGATTATATTAGGAAATCAAAATTTACTTAATTGCAAATAACCGTGTCATATGTTTTATTATGTTTGTTTATTGCTTTAACAAAGATCTGGTAACAGGAATATGAATTTCTTCAGCAGACAGTGAAATTTCAAACCAGACTGTTTCTTGATAACTTCCTGTTGCTGAAATCATTTTTACATTAGTCAGCTAACGTACAAACCTACTTACTCTCAAGTTAAGTGGGACAGCCTTAAGCATAAGCAAAATTGTAGCTAGATAGTAAATAGTAGGTATCATAAGGTTCTGCATTTAAGAGGTCACCAAGTAACACCTGAACCATCATAGTCACTCCCCAAGAGTCCAATTCAAACCACTCTGCCTGCAGAGTTTCTGACCACCTGGGAAAGAACTTGCTACAGACAACTGTCAATAATAGGGAGGTCCTTTGGGAGGAAGAAGGTGAGTTCCTAAGAGGGGAGAAGAAGGGAGCAGGGAGTGATGGAATTGGGGAGCTCAGTTCCTTCATTGTCTAAGGCCCCAATGCACCAAAGACCAGCTTGCATATTTAGTGCATCTCTACATAACAATGGCTATTTCTTATCTAAATAGTTATATACTGTACATCATTTACTGTTCTGTTAGACTGAGACCGTTTTAGAACCTTGGAATACCTGTAATCTGCCAAGGAACACAAAAGGTTTTACCCTACAATATGTTTTATTTCCTTTCTGATATCTACCTAAACTGCAGAAAAAATTGATATCCAGATTCAAACACCTCTAAAGATTAGCAACAAGCCTGTATACGGAAGGGAAATGGAACATAATGACATTTATAAAATATAGGCAAGTGGACCACTGCACACACATAACTGATTAAAGAGTCCTGAAGTATGTTGCCTGCAGTAATAACCATATTCAGAAGCATAATCTTAACCGGAAACTAGAATTGGTTCTATCAACATCCATGGAACTTGGAGGGAGGTGCACAGGTTGTTGGAGGGAAGAGTCTGGAGAAGGCACTAGGCAGTCAGTCCATGTACACATAGCTTGAATGCTAGCTGCAGCTGCAGCACCTTTGTAAATAGGTGCTTTAATAAACAGCCAGTTTCGTTTTACAAACATGGAGCCTTCTTTTGTTATTACCCACACATGGTACATGAAACGTTGGCCAATGCTGGATTATGCAAAACACTGAAAATCGACTAAATGTAAACCAAACTACTACACTTGGTCACTAAACAAGTTAATTCTAAGTGAAATTAATATTCATGAAGTAACTAACTCAATTTTTATTACAGAAATTGGAACCAAGAAGATGTGTACGATAAAAGTTAAGCACTTCAGTCTAAGCACTGTCTTTCAGTAATCATAACCTTTTCCTCCCCATTGCATGTCACCATCTCTCCTCAGATAATGCTACCATTAGGACCTGATCCTGTGAGATGCTGAAAAGTCCTGTGTGGTGCTGAGCACCTTCAAATCTCATTGTTTTCAAATTTATTTTCTTAGCTGAGGGCACTCAATAACTTGCAGGATCAGCGTCTGTGAGCAAGAACTGTGTCTTTTTTTTATCTGCAAAAGACCATGCACATTTCTGGAGCTGTATAAATAATGAATAATGAATGTGTTCTTGATTAAAGAAGTAGCCCGAATTTATGGACTCACTGTAATGAAATGGGGCACAATCAGACCATGGGTCACCATGTGCAAACTACCTGCTTTTCGGTCACGGAGATGGGGGTGGAGAGTACCTTCTGTTGGGCGGCTTTCATGACTGCAGAGTGAGTAGTGGGTGAGCAAGGGGGAAGAATGGGTGGAGCCTTGACTCTGCCCTACCTCCTCTCAGCCTACTGTACTGATTAAGTAGGGGAAGCAACCTGATAGAGAACAGTAGGAGAAAACCAGAGAGAGGAATTGTGACTATCAGACTGCTATGCACTGTCCCTTTCCAATAGGTCAGGGTAGACTCTCAGTCTAGACTATACCGTTAAGAGAAGTCAGTGCTTTGAGAAAGTGTACACCTGTGACCAGATTGTTTGGAGCAGTTAACTAACATGAAGGAGAGAACTATTTTATGGTACTTATTTTTTAAATAAAAACATGGAACTAACGTGTTTCATGTTGTGGTAAAAATCCCTGATCCTGGTCACATTCCCATAAAATGTATTATAAAGCTACACTAAGTTATGGCTTCTCTCATCACATATAAGTAATTCAAATGTAATTTTTAAATAGTAGAAAATTACAACATTTCCCCCCTAAAAATGCTCCTACTAATCCACTTTTACTGTGTATGGTTCTCGAAGAACTTTAGTAGCTGACTATTTCAGAAAAGTACAAACCAAAGCTCCATCCACTGGCTAACATACACACCACCACCACTAAATGACTGCAAATACTGAGGAAAGAGTTTCAACAGGAAAAACAATTATTGGGCCTCTGTATCCAGGAAAAGCAGACAGAAAGATTACAAGATTAAATCAAAGATAATCTTGCTGGTTTTTGAGGTTCAGGAAGCACAAAACCTAACTTTAGCAACTTTGGCACTAACATACTATCTGGTGCGGATTCAAATCCCTGATGGATTCATTTTACACACTACCTTGGACACAGCTGTTATTTCCCATGTAGACATCAAGACAATATGAACATTTCTATCCACTAGATGGTGCTCTGGCGCCCTTTACTGAGGGTCTCACTTACTTGCAGTCTCTGTCCTCCAAATCAAAGTGAGGGTTGAAGTTGATCATAATTCTCTGGTATGGTTCAGGAGCCTGAATCAGCCATTCACATTTTTGGCTTGGATGATAGGAATTAGGATAGCCAGGAGAAGTAAGGTACCCAGGGTTTACAATTTTTATATTATCACCGCATTTATCTGCAATGAAAACAAAAATTTCCTGTTTAGTTTATCGTCTCCAATCAATCACAAATCTTTGAGTACAGCTGCATGAGTCAAGTGTGGTTAAAATGTTGTGTTTCCTACATCTTTCTTTAGCAACCTTTTATTGAGTTCTACGCGTTTAAAGTAATCTCTTACAGATCACATTTTCTGTAGGAAAGAATATAATGCAAAATTCGGATGTACACCAGTTGTTGCTTCCAGGGCTAATCTGTGCAAATGGTGGCTCTAATTTTGAGAGGCCAAGTTTCAAAACTGTTTCTCTGGAAAGGTTCCCTTCACAAATAAAACCCTCACATCATTAAAACACTGCATCCTCACAATTTATGTTAACACTGGCTCCGAGGGGTTTCATTTAGATTTATCTCAGAGACGTGTAATCTTATTAAGGAACAAGGTTTAAGTGGAGAGTGACTAAAAAGATGCTGTCTGACCCCCTGCACAGCTATTCTGATGATAAGCCTGGTCTGTGTCATTGGCCATCGGGGAGTTGTCTTCATAGACCCCTGCTCTCTTACAGCAAAGCCTTCTTTTGTTTTATCAGTCCATAAATCTAAGCAATTTGAAGTTATCTGTGCTCCTTAGATGCAGACTAACAGAGAACAAAGTGCATTTAGTGAAGCAGAAATGATTCAGTATTACTCCTTTAAGGAAGTTTGTTCATGCTTGGAGACCAGATCAAAGAAATGGAACAGAAACAACCCTCCTTTTCCCCTCCCCCTAAAAAACAACAACACCCAGGTTTATTTCTAATTGCAAAACAGTTGGAAAAGTTACTACAGTCACCAAGTGCAAGTATGAAATATAGTGGCTGCATCTTGCTCCTTTGGCAAAGAATGTTAAGGTTACACATTTTAAGGTGTATTGGAAGAACAGAGAGAGCTAAGTAATCCAATCTGTAAGGTCATTTGTTTCATTATTCAGTGTAGGTTGGCACTGTGGCTTTTTATTATTATGGATTTCTTACCATAGATCTTCAGCTAAAGAAACTTTCCCTCACATACTGACATGCAATTTTCAGCAATAAAGTACGAGAATAAGCTACAGAAGGAAAGCATATATGCACTAATAAATATAAATCTATATATCACTATTTCTCAATAATGGTATATACAGCTTGTAATACTGTATCTCATAGATTCCCTGTGGAAGGAAAATGGCATTCTTTGCTCTCAGCATGAATTTATAAATGTACAGAATTTTATTACAGGAAAACCAGGTCAAATGGAAATGAAAGATGAAGTGCATATAAAAAATGAATAAAGCTACAAGCATTATAGAAATAATTTTGCCATAAATTAGAAAGGAAGGAGACGACATATATGCTATTGTTTGTTCAAAGGCAAGATATTTCTAACCATATTGCTTGGGTTGGCCGGAGCCTATTTGTTTTCTGTTTTCGCTTTCCAAAACAAATTGTTTATCTTTGCCAGGAACAAAAAGGTGTTGCAACCAAGAGCTAGTGATCTGTGTGATTCGCCTGTCTGTGGGTCCAAAGGAACCTAACATTATTTCCACTGTGTAGCAGACTTGGGAAGTGACCCTGACTTAGTGAGTCCACTACGGCTCTGTGCAAACAACATGGCAGAATCTGGCATCTGTTCAGTGAGTGAAATAAAACAGTGCTGTTTCTAGTCACTTGACAGAGTCACTTCAGAAGACGTTGAGGCGGGCTCACTACCACCAGTGCTGTTTAATCTGCGACTTCTGGGAAAGTGACAGTATAATAAGATAATGCGGACTGCTAGACTCCCTGGCTCTGTGAAATCTCTCCCAACACTTAATTAAGAAGGGCAGTTTCTGATGACTTCGGACCATTAGTTCTAAATAAGGTTAATGAATTAATTTAGCAGACACTAGTATTGGACGGAGGTGGACATTGGCATTAGTAGGTCTGGTAAGTTACGGAAGAGGTTAATGGCCTTGGTGACTCCAGTAGGCTATTATGTCTGTACCTACGCAGACAGCCTGCTTCTCAGGCAGTTTCTTCATCAACAGCCCTCCCTATTTCTGCTCTGTATTTAAAGGAAGAATATTATCAGAAATATTGCAGTATCACCCCTACCCACCTCATTTCATTTAGTCCTATACGCGTTGGTTCAGCCCCCATTATCTTACCACTTCTGCTGCTGCTCCAAAGTGATGCAGAAATATGGAGCAGTCATTTTACATTTACAAATAATGGCTTCAGACAGAAGGAGGAGGTTATTGTCACTCCCCACCGTCCTTACCTACAGCTCACAAGGGCTAGACCAGGCTGGATCTCACTAAAGATTCACAGCCTAAGACTGGCACACGCTTTCTATCTTAATGTGTTTGCTTCTGTGTCAGATCACTGGAGGAGGAATCTCTTGCTTATTAAATTAGGCAGCCTCCTCAAAATTTATTGCAAAGAGATTAACTTTCATCACAAAAATGTGATTTACATTCCTCTCCGTGCAGGACACTCCACTTGTGATCTCTTATTAAAACAATATACCACTGCAAGTGGAAGATGCTCTTTTCTTTTAATTACTTTGATTGAAAGCCTAGTCAGGCAAAAGTAAATATTTGATAATTAGTTAATAATAATTGCTCAGGATTTGCTGGGAAAGGAAAATTCACAGGAGTTCTTTCATGTGTGCTAGTTAAATGTCAAACAATCCTACAATTAGACCATCCTTAAAAGTGTATAATTCAGGGAAATATTCAGTGTGCGGAGGCATTGTTCAAAGAACGAAGAGCTGGTTGTTTTTAATTAGCTGTGTTTTCAAGTGTTGCCTGAAAGTAAATTAGATATAGAAGTCATTGTTATGGGATTTCTCTATTAGAATTGAGTCCCAAGCCCTTGCAAGCCTATAGATTCCTCTACAGACACTATTCAAGTTCCACGGGAACTCCAGACTTGCCACAAATAGGTTATGTCTTACTTGACCATGCTACCTGCCAGGTAGCTACAACTATAAAAGATGATATTCTGAATATCTAACCCCAGAAAAGCCTCCCCTTTAAGGCGCTCGTTATCTTGCAGATTTTAAGAGTCTTATTTAATTGCCCATGTGAGGAAACATTATTACGATAATTGGCTGCCCTAATCTTGTGAAAGCGAGCAGCCCTCGTTTATATAACAACGGAAAGGGGCTGAAAATAAAGTTAAAAGGCCGTGTGATGATTCTGTGACACTGTAGTGCAGATCACGGATTTTTACTGAAAAGTTCCCCTCATCCTAGTAATCAGGTTGGTCTTCCTTCCACTGCAAAACATTTCTCATTGATTGTTATTAGAACTCAGGAATGGGCCCTACATCTGAAAATATTATCTGAATAACTTGAAATCAGTTGTCTTCTCTGTCACTTACCGCTCCTTAAAGCCCTGGCTAGGGTGAAGGTGAGGGCTGCCCAGTGCAGGAGAAGTCCCCAATCCATCTTCCTTTCTGATTGTAGAAGGAGAGAGAGAGAAAAAAACCACCCCTCACAGCACACAACTCCTCTTAGCTCTTAAATCCTGCGGCTGGAGTTAGGGGCAGAACGCTAGGTCCGCAGCCGCAGCTGGAGCCCGGTGGCAGAGACGCTTCTTTTTGTGTGTGTCTCAAGTCGCCTGCATCCCGTCAGTTAGCTCCGGTTTCCTCTCCCTTTTCCCACACTCGCTCCTTTTCCAGGCGTCGCGGCCGCTGCCATTTCCAAAGAGGCTAGAAAGCCAACTGACAGCAAAAAAACAAAAGCAAAACAAAACAAAACAAAACAAAAATCCTGGCGGCTTCTGGAAGCCCCGGAAGATGTCTCCAAGCCAGGGGTCCGGCCCGGGAGGGAGGGGGTCTGCGGAGAGGAGAGAGAAATGATGAGCAGAGAGAGACAGGACTTTTGCAAACTGCGTCCCTCCCTTCCCCAGACCAGCTCGCCTGTAACTCAGCCACACACACAAGTTTCCCCCAGCGCTGTCCCCTTTGTATGTGCGCTCCAGCAGCCCCGATGGCCAGTGCCTAAGACTAACCGGGCTCTGTTGGGGGAGAGTGCGGGGCACCACGCCTGGCTACCGCCGGGCACCTGCAAGTGGGACACTGCTGCTGCCTGGCGGCTTAGAGGCTCCGACGGGCATCCAGGCGGAGGGTGGGGACCGTGGGGAAGTGCGAAGCGCCGGGCGGCTCCTTCCTGCAGCCTGAGGAGGAGAAGCGCAACTCAGTGGCAATAAGAGAGGCAGAGGAGCCGCCGTCTCCACAGCCCCAGTCCCCTCCCCCTCCCCGCCCTCCTCCTCCTCCTCAGCCCCCCAAGACATCGGCAGAAAGGACGGAACAGCACACAAACAAAACAGGCTGGGGCCCTGAACTTCAGCGGGGGCTGGGAGCCGCTGCCAGAGGCGGCTGGGAGGAGAGGGGCCGCCCCTTTCCCGCTGGGGCAGCCAGGTAAAGCCAAGTGAAACGGACGAGGCGTGCGGGGTCCCATGTGCAGCGGGACAGAGCCGGCAGCAACGGCGCGGTCATGAGGCAGCGGGCTCCAGCGCAGCCCCCCCGGCCAGCAGCCACTGCCGCTTGCCCACCGGGCACTACCCATCGCCTCGTCCCGTCACCTCCAAGTCACAGAGTCACAGCGCGGCGTGTCCGCGGCTCGCACCCGGCTGGGCTCCGTGCCCAGCGTGTCCCTGAGCCGCCAGCCCCGCGCCGGCTCTCCCTGCCCTCCCGTTCCCGCGCCCCTGGCTCCAGCCTCTCCACAACCAGCCTCCTCTCCCAGCCGGGCTTATTGGCCACTGTGGCCACTCTCCAGCCTCCAGTGCGCGCTGCCTACCATCCACCATGCTCCGTCCAGTGCTTCCACCAGCACTGCCCCCATGCTGCACTGTGCAGTGTGCCCATCACCCCCGCTATTCACTGCCCACCATCTCCCCTCCAGTGCTTCCACCAGCACTGCCCCCATGCTGCACTGTGCAGTGTGCCCATCACCCCCGCTATTCACTGCCCACCATCTCCCCTCCAGTGCTTCCACCAGCACTGCCCCATCCTGAACTGTGCAGTGTGCCCATCACCCCCGCTATTCACTGCCCACCATCTCCCCTCCAGTGCTTCCACCAGCACGGCCCCCATCCTGCACTGTGCAGTGTGCCCATCACCCCCGCTATTCACTGCCCACCATCTCCCCTCCAGTGCTTCCACCAGCACGGCCCCCATCCTGCACTGTGCAGTGTGCCCATCACCCCCGCTATTCACTGCCCACCATCTCCCCTCCAGTGCTTCCACCAGCACTGCCCCCATCCTGCACTGTGCAGTGTGCCCATCACCCCCGCTATTCACTGCCCACCATCTCCCCTCCAGAGTATCCACCAGCACTGCCCCCATCCTGCATTGTGCAGTGTGCCTATCACCCCCGCTATTCACTGCCCACCATCTCCCCTCCAGTGTATCCACCAGCACTGCCCCCATCCTGCACTGTGCAGTGTGCCCATCACCCCCGCTATTCACTGCCCACCATCTCCCCTCCAGAGTATCCACCAGCACTGCCCCCATCCTGCACTGTGCAGTGTGCCCATCACCGCCGCTATTCACTGCCCACCATCTCCCCTCCAGTGTATCCACCAGCACTGCACCCATCCTGCACTGTGCAGTGTGCCCATCACCCCCGCTATTCACTGCCCACCATTTCCCCTCCAGTGTATCCACCAGCACTGCCCCCATCCTGCACTGTGCAGTGTGCCCATCACCCCCACTATTCACTGCCCACCATCTCCCCTCCAGAGTATCCACCAGCACTGCCCCCATCCTGCACTGTGCAGTGTGCCCATCACCGCCGCTATTCACTGCCCACCATCTCCCCTCCAGTGTATCCACCAGCACTGCCCCCATCCTGCTCTGTGCAGTGTGCCCATCACCCCCGCTATTCACTGCCCACCATCTCCCCTCCAGTGTATCCACCAGCACTGCCCCCATCCTGCACTGTGCAGTGTGCCCATCATCCCCGCTATTCACTGCCCACCATCTCCCCTGCAGTGTATCCACCAGCACTGCCCCATCCTGCACTGTGCAGTGTGCCCATCACCCCCGCTATTCACTGCCCACCATCTCCCCTCCAGTGTACCCACCAGCACTGCCCCCATGCTGCACTGTGCAGTGTGCCCATCACCCCCGCTATTCACTGCCCACCATCTCCCCTCCAGTGTATCCACCAGCACTGCCCCATGCTGCACTGTGCAGTGTGCCCATCACCCCCGCTATTCACTGCCCACCATCTCCCCTCCAGTGTACTCACCAGCACTGCCCCCATGCTGCACTGTGCAGTGTGCCCATCACCCCCGCTATTCACTGCCCACCATCTCCCCTCCAGTGCTTCCACCAGCACTGCCCCCATGCTGCACTGTGCAGTGTGCCCATCACCCCCGCTATTCACTGCCCACCATCTCCCTCCAGTGCTTCCACCAGCACTGCCCCATGCTGCACTGTGCAGTGTGCCCAACACCCCGCTATTCACTGCCCATCTCCCCTCTAGTGCATCCACCAGCACTGCCCCCATGCTGCACTGTGCAGTGTGCCCATCACCCCCGCTATTCACTGCCCACCATCTCCCCTCCAGTGTATCCACCAGCACTGCCCCCATCCTGCACTGTGCAGTGTGCCCATCACCGCCGCTATTCACTGCCCACCATCTCCCCTCCAGTGTATCCACCAGCACTGCCCCCATCCTGCACTGTGCAGTGTGCCCATCACCCCCGCTATTCACTGCCCACCATCTCCCCTCCAGTGTATCCACCAGCACTGCCCCCATCCTGCACTGTGCAGTGTGCCCATCATCCCCGCTATTCACTGCCCACCATCTCCCCTCCAGTGTATCCACCAGCACTGCCCCCATCCTGCACTGTGCAGTGTGCCCATCACCCCCGCTATTCACTGCCCACCATCTCCCCTCCAGTGTATCCACCAGCACTGCCCCCATGCTGCACTGTGCAGTGTGCCCATCACCCCCGCTATTCACTGCCCACCATCTCCCCTCCAGTGTATCCACCAGCACTGCCCCCATCCTGCACTGTGCAGTGTGCCCATCACCCCCGCTATTCACTGCCCACCATCTCCCCTCCAGTGTACTCACCAGCACTGCCCCCATGCTGCACTGTGCAGTGTGCCCATCACCCCCGCTATTCACTGCCCACCATCTCCCCTCCAGTGCTTCCACCAGCACTGCCCCCATGCTGCACTGTGCAGTGTGCCCATCACCCCCGCTATTCACTGCCCACCATCTCCCCTCCAGTGCTTCCACCAGCACTGCCCCCATGCTGCACTGTGCAGTGTGCCCAACACCTCCGCTATTCACTGCCCATCTCCCCTCTAGTGCATCCACCAGCACTGCCCCCATGCTGCACTGTGCAGTGTGCCCATCACCCCCGCTATTCACTGCCCACCATCTCCCCTCCAGTGAATCCACCAGCACGGCCCCCGTCCTGCACTGTGCAGTGTGCCCATCACCGCCGCTATTCACTGCCCACCATCTCCCCTCCAGTGTATCCACCAGCACGGCCCCCATCCTGCACTGTGCAGTGTGCCCATCACCCCCGCTATTCACTGCCCACCATCTCCCCTCCAGTGCTTCCACCAGCACTGCCCCCATCCTGCACTGTGCAGTGTGCCCAACACCTCCGCTATTCACTGCCCATCTCCCCTCTAGTGCATCCACCAGCACTGCCCCCATCCTGCACTGTGCAGTGTGCCCATCACCCCCGCTATTCACTGCCCACCATCTCCCCTCCAGTGTATCCACCAGCACTGCCCCATCCTGCACTGTGCAACGTGCTCACCACTGTCCATCGCTCACTGCCCGCTGTTGGCCAAGCCCAGCGCCGTGCGTTCGGTCTCTAGTCATGCACCACGCAGCGGGGCCCCCCTCCCGACCCTCACTGTCCCGCTGTGGTCACTATCCACGGCCCAGCATCGCCGGCCTGTCCGCTGCGATGTGTCCATCCACCCCTAGTCCCACCGCCTTCGCTTTTCACTCACCCCCCCCCCTCCTCCCTCCCGCTCTCCTCCCGGGCGAGCGTGTCAGTCCGTCTGTCGCGACAAGGGCATCGGGCTCCCGGGGCCCCACGAGCGGGTGCCGGGCGGGGGGTGTCACGCTGCCCCCCAGCACTTGGCGACTGGTCTCAAGCTCCCGGCCCCGCTCGGAGATGCTCCGTGGCAGGGTGAGATCTGCCCGCGCGCGCGGGGCCGGGGAAGCGGCTCGCGGGCATCTCCGGCCGGGTGAGGGGACGCCAGGCAGCCCGGCGCCGCCCGCGGAGCTCGCCGGCGGGGTCTCGCGCGGGGGCGGGGGCAGGAAAAGACCCTTGGAGGCGCCGAGACCCACCCAGTGCCGCCGAAGCAGCGCACGGGTCTGGGAGACCCCGCCTGGCCGGGCTGGGGGCGCAGCCTGGGGGGAGGGGTCCCTTTCCGCCGGGTCAGCAGCAGCGCGTGGAGCTAGGGGTGGGGGGTGACTGCCCGCACCCGGGCAAACCCTCCGCTTCCTCTGCCCCGCTTCTCCCGGCGCTTCCTTCTCACCCCCTGCTCCTCACTGCGCTTCCGTCCAGCTTCCCGCTCCCTGCCGCCCCCTCCCACTGCTCCCCCTCCACCCCAGCTCCCGCTCCCCTTCCCCTTCCCTTTGCCCCCCTCTCCCTCCCGCTCCCACTCCCCTTCCCCTCTCCCTCTCCCTCCCGCTCCCGCTCCCCTTCCCCTCTCCCCCCAGGTGCCCTTCCCTTCCCCTCTCCCTCCCACTTCCCTTCCCTGCTCCCTCCAGCTCTTGCTCCCCTTCTCCCCCCAGCTCCTGCTCTCCTTCCCCTCTCTCCCCGATCCCCTTCCCTTTCCCTCTCCCCACAGCCTCTGCTCCCCCTCCCTCTGCTCCCCCTCCACCTCAGCTCCTGCTCCCCTTCCCTCTCCCCCCAGCTCCTGTTCCCCTTCCTGTTCCCCTCCCTCTCCTCCCACTCCACCCCAGCTACCTGCTCCCTTTCCTCCCCCCTCTTCCCCCAGCTCCTGCTCCAGCACCCCTTCCCCTCCTCCCTCTCCACCCCAGCTCCTGCTCTTCTTCCTCTTCCCTTCTCCCCCCAGCTCCTGCTCCCCTTCCTCTTCCCCTCCCCCAGTTCCTGCTCTCCTTCCCCTCCCACTCCTCCCCTGTCCATTTCAGCTCCTCCTCACACTTTCCCTCCCCCTCCTCCCTTCTCCACTCCAGCTCCTGCTCCCTTCTCATCACCT